GTGTCCTCTGAAACCTCCCATGCCCAGGCTGTCCGTGCAGGCCCAGGTCCCTCTGCTGTCTCCTCATGTTAGCTGGATTTATAGTCTTGCCTCATCCCCACTGTCAGCTACATGTCACTCAAGCTGTGGAAAGCACCAGGCATTTCCAGCTTAAATTTCTTGGTACTGCTGTTAGCAACTGAAAGCAACTCAAAGAAGCATTCCATTTGACAGAGAATGATAATTAGCTTGTCAGCTAAATTTAGAACAAAATCTTCTATTTGGAGGAAACTATTTCAAAATAATTTCTCAAACTATTTTAAAGTTGCCCTTCACCTGAAATTAAATATTAATAACCGATAGGTTGTCCATACTTTAGAACAGTTGAGACTTTCATGTAAGACATCCCATTGAGACAGTTTTCCTGTTGGGTGGCGTGTGATATTCAAGGCTGGTACAGCCCTCTAACTAGGCAACTCCTGAAGGTCCCTTCTATTCATCTGCATCTCATCATTTTTGTTGAACTTGTTGAAGATTGGTAACAAGGGAAAAAAAGATGCCATCACCTTGGGCCAAGAACATGAAGCAGATGTCTCTAGCCAAAGATCATTCCTAACTCTTTCCCTACACACTACATGTTACGACCTCTGAAAGACTGCACTGCTCTGTGCAAGCTCATGCCAGATCAAAACCCAGCATGGAGAAGGCAGGTGGACGGGAAGTGCCACCCACCCCTAGCCAGGGAGCCCTTGGTGACTGATAGGCTGGGAGAGGGACACTCCATTTTAAGAACATTGCCCCTAGCTAGCCAATCATGCCCCAGAAGGCCACACATCCAAGACTATATAGGAAACATAAACTGGTCTTGCTAGGTGGTGGTTGACTGGACACAAGTAGGGAAGAGGGTAGATCTGGGAGGAACTGGGAGGGGGTGTATAAAATTAAAACACAGTGTGCAACATTCTCAGAGCTAACAGTAAAGGGACTCCAGCCACCTGGACACTTCCCCAGAGGACACATGCCTAGAACATGGGACGGGAGCCAGGAGGGGAAAGTACACTGGCCACTTTCATTCTTCCAGTGTGTTTAGAGACCTACCTGGCTGTGGCCCCCATCAACCCAGGCGCTGTCTGTGTCAAGGGCCTGAGCGTAGAGCTGGACAGCAGATCTGAGAGGAAGCAGCTCCTTTCCTGCCACAGCCTTCTTTCACACACTCCCTTCCAATCTTGTCTCTTCCAGGGGAATCACAACGTTGAACGGGGTCTTTGCGGCGAGAGGTACACTGCTCCTGTTTCTCCTCATAGCCTCATGCGCTTGCACAGTGCCATGCATGCGACATGAGCCTCGAAGAACACCCGAGCCAGTGGGAGTGTAAGCATCCTTTGAAATAGTTTTGTAAGTAGATTATAAAGTAAAATACAAGCCCATTATCCCTAAGGGGAGACCTGCTGGCTTGGTGTGCTTCATCTCCACAGAGGTACTGACATAGTGTTTTGTTTTTTAAGAAAGGTTATGTTACCAAAGCAACAAGTTTGAGAGAGCACATGCGTTATCACCTTAAGCATTTTTCATCCACGTCTTTGGTTTTTGGATTTAGCTTAGTCAGACACCCACATCACAGTTCTGAGCTCTCCCAGTCTCCGGTTTAGACCACGGAACTGCTCTCTCTGCTAGGGAAGCCTTATCATCCTTCATCTGCAGAGAGAAAACTGAAACCCAGAGAGATCAGAGACTTGTATCAGGTAACACAGTAGTGGCAAGGTAGGACTTTTCCAAGTCTGGGGCATCTCTGTTTTTTCTGGTGGTCTTGGCTGGAGATGGGGCAGGAAAACAGTGTTAGTCGGGACAGAGCAGGGCACAGGCGCATCCCACGGCAAAGCTGAAGGGGCACCTGCCCATTGTCCAGACTGCCAGGAAATAATACTGTGCTCCATTCCTTCAATCCCTTCCTCCCCCAAACCTCTACTGAGTTCAACGGGCAACCGAATCAGTGATTTCCTCTTCCGTTTTCCCTGGCTGCAGTTTGGGGGAAGGGGAGGGAAATGATCTAAATAAGTCTTTCACTTACTGGGGTGTGGGACTTGTCACTTGGAAAGACATCGGATTCATGGAGAGGCTTAGTGTCCTTTTCATCTCCCAGGGTGGGCTGAGCCTCATTCAGAGAGCAGTTGACTAGGTTATTCTTGACCCTCTTGGTATGTTTATCTTTTAGATTTAACAGTACTCCTTATCGCCACAAAGGAAGAACAAACTGTTCTTACAAACAAAAGCTGTACACCCTGCTGTATTTAATCTTTGACCAGAATAACTCTAAGTGCTATTTTGCTTCCTATGTAAACACAGTATCCAGTAAACTACAAAACACACAACAGCCACTCTGAGGAAGATCTGTATCCATCTATGTAGCTACTTTTCTTATACCGAGAAAAAATACCCAGAATTACCCAGGGTGACTCGTGACTTTAGGGGTCACGCTTCATGTCGACAGTCACAGGAATTCAAAGCCTTGGCCCGCAGACCTCAGGCATACGGACTTGTCCTTGCATCTCTGAAGCGGGATTATTCCTACTCGGCATACTCACAAACTGTAGGAATTTCAGGTCTCAGTGTAAACTTAAAATTGAAAGAATCGCAGGTTTCGGTTTAAACTCAAAAAATTAACTGCCCCAGGACAATCCTGGGAGGAGCACATTCCAAAGACTTACATACACATTCCAGGGGAAGGGCTCAAGATAATAGGTAATCAGGAAGCTGGCCCAAATCTGGGCAAACGGAAGCCACTTAGCTAACACTCATTGTTATAAAGATAATGTGCAAATCTGAGTCACCTAGGGGCCAGGCCTGGGATTGGTTGTTGAGGTCAGCCTTTGTGGTTATTGTTTAAGAGATAAAACTGCCCTTATGAACTCTGTATAAAAACTGCTCTCAGCTTTGGCTCGGGGTTCCTCTTGCCTGCGTGTGAGGGAACCCTAGTGTACTGATTATCAATAAACCTCATGTTTTTGCAGCGAACCCCGTCCGTGTTTCTGCAGGAGTGCGTCGTCCCTCGGTTTGGATCTTAGAGTCCAACAAAATCATATTAATATTCTAAGCCTTATTTTTTTTCTGTTAACAAATCTCTGAAAAACAGGGCTAACCTGGGAAAAATCTGATGCAGTATACCCCAATTTCTTAATGTGGCTTTAAAGATCTTTTCCTAGGGGCAACCTTAGGTCAGGCCCTGGTGGAGCACAGAGGCTGGGGCATCGAGTTCAAGGCTCCTGGGTCTGCACAGTGATTCAAAAGACACCTTAGACAACTCAGTGAGATTCCTGTTAGAATACTGAGCCATGAATACAGTTCCGTGGCGTGGCATCTTGCCTGTAATCTCCAGAGTTCTAACACTGGTACTGCTAATTATCACCTTTAAATTACATAACAGACTATCTGGAGAACAAGAGTGACCCTTCAAACATTCTTCCCTATCCTACACACCCACGCACATGGGCACGCCCACCGTCATGTCCTTGGAACAGACCTACAATCCTGCTTTAAAAACAGATACAGGGAACTGCTCAGCCACCCTGACACTTGACTTCAGGCTTGAGGCAGCATGCAGCCCCAAGCATCTGAATGGAAGCTCAAACCACACACCGGTTGCTGTTTTACTGTGTAAAATACACAGAAAAGTTTAAAGACTTATTTTTAGCTGTTTCCGAATTGGAGAATAGTCTTTTGCAGTTTAGTTTTGAAACTGGATCTCCAGGCCTCAGAGGGCACTGGGAACTTCTGCCTTTTTTGTATGTTTGAAGTTGGTGCCATGGCACCTAGAAGACATTTAGCCATGCGTTTTTAAAAGGTAGTGTTTGCAGGCAAGTACGTGCCTTTAAAAAACCCTTCCTAAATAGCTGCAATTAGTTCTTAAGTGCTCACTGTGTCAAGCGTGATTTGCGTGGCTTCTGAAGCCCAGTCAGGGATGCCAACAGTTAGCGGCTCGTAGCAGGGCTCTCAATACAATCCTTCACTCTGGCCACATTCACGCCAAACTCGGAATGGAGGAACAGGCTATTTCCAACTCCAAAGAAATGCTTGCTTTGGCAGGGGCATCTGAGTGACAGAAGGGACTTACAGGGCAACATGGGACCTGGCCACTGGGTTTGTCCTATGCAGGTGACCAGCCAACAGAGCTGTAGCTGTAGAGAGGAGCTACAGAGCTATGCTGACAAAAACCATTGACCAGCAAGTTTAACAGTACTTGAGGCAAAAGACACAAGGGAGGGTGTAAACCACAAACCCTACTTCCTGTCCTTGGCATGCTCATTAATCTCTAAAGACAAACTCCATGGGAACGCTACGCAGTCACTCCAGAAGGGAGTGTAGCTCGTGGTTTACTGCACCTAGAAACTAGCATTTCAAAGGGTAGGTCTGGTAAAAGCTCGGTCTTTGGATAATGAAAGACGACTGAACTCGAGGTTTTGTTAGTTTAACAGCCAGTTGATGGCTAGCCAGCAGGAGCAGCCTGTCTGGGTAGATCCCCACTGGTTCCTGGCAGGCAGCTCTGAGGACACTGCCATTATCTGCACTCTACAGGTGTGGATTTCAGGGGAGCTTTTCCAAGAATGAATGGCTCATGTGATGAGCTTAATGGAAGGGACCCCAGTGATGTGAACCACTGTTCACACTGACCCCAGGAAGTTAAGGCCATTCTAGCACACAGGGATTCTTTACTGTTGACGGAGCTGGAAACCGTGGGCACTTAAGGTCCACAGCCTGTGAAACATCAGGACGCACCACAAGGTCACCAGCCCCGTAAGACACTCTCTAGCCTGTGGGACTCATGTCCGGCTTTCCTGTCTGTAGTTTAAGTCGAACATCACATCTGGCAGTCATGTTTGATAGACAGAGATCCATGTGGGGAGCAGGAATACTCAATCCAGTTTAAAGCTACAACCAAACTGTGGAAGAGTCTGGCTAACAGTGCAGAAGTGGTTTGTGGGCTATGTGAAGTGTGTAAGTCACTAAAGACGCCATTGAGATACAACTTGGTAAACAGGCACTGCTTATTTAATAAGTACAGAATGTACACAGACTTCCCAAAAAGCATGGCTTTATACAGAGTATTTACAGAATGCACAGTGTAATCCAGGGTTTACCTATACAACGCAGACATCTATGCACTCGGGAAGGGAAGACAACAGCAGGTATGGAGACAGCCGTACGCACCTCCAGAGCCCAGGAGAGGTGACATCCATTTCAATATGCAACTACGCTCTCATTTAGTTTGCTTCTTTCAATTATTTTTCTTGTTTACCTTTGACAACTTTTGGTCACTAGTGCCACCAATTGGTTTCTTAAGAATTAATAACATTAGTATGAAAATTAACTGAAAAAAAATTCCTGAAAAACAGATTAGCAGAATCAACAGTCCCAAAGCATGAATGTCATTATTTATAAAAAAAATCATTACCAGGGTAATGTGTACCACATTTACAGTATTAATAGTTTCTGGGTCTTTTTTCTTCCAAATTTTAGGCTAAATTTTCTTGTAGAAATATTTAGAAAATAACCAATAACCTGTACGAGAGAATTCAGAAGCTGCTCAATAGGACCGGACTCTTCAGGAGCATGAACCAGGCGCCAGTCAACCAGTCACAAAGCGCTAAAAGTCTAACGGATTTCTAAGTTAGGAGCTGTGCAGAGCACCATGGGAGCAACACTCTCCCAGGCCAGAGCTCCAGGTGAGGCTGAGGTGCTTGGCTCATCTACCTGTGCAAGCGAGTAGCCCAGTAATAAAGGCTAGCCCGAGATTGAAGCCTGAAGACCTGCCCTGCTGCTGTCATGAGACCACAAGTCCCAAGGGACTGGAGAGTGACAACCACAATACCTGTAGGGTGCCTGGTGGAGTGTTTATTAGGCAAATGTATTTCTTAAATGAATAGATGACCTGTGTAGCCTGATCGAGTCGTTTTAAATGGTTATAGAGAAACAAAATGAAACCACCAACAATTGGTCACTGTGTCCAAATGTACCAAACAGACTCAAAATCTCAAGTGGTATGGGAAAAAAAGGAGTCACAGCACTCACTTTCAGGTGAAAACCAGGGAAGTATACACACCTAGATGTGCATGCACACCAATTTCTTGCCCAAGGATACCAAAATATTATTAAATAACCAAAATAGCCATTTACATTTGTAACTAACAATGATCAAATAAATTCATACTCTGGTCTCAGGGTCTCTCTTCCACATATTCTATGAGCATAAGAAGCTCAGAAATAAATCTACCCCAGGAGCTTGTCATAAGTCAGTGCAGGTTCTCTTGGACACACACTTGTTTCTTACACATTATTTTGCTCAGTCCTGACCATATATGAAAGGACACAGGAGATGCCTAATGAAAAAGAAAATAGAACTTTTCCAGCTTTTTAAGCTTCATAGATATGGAAGGACAGTAGGTATGATCAAAGCATGGCTTTTAGTAATTATATTCTTAAATTATTTCATTATTAAGTTCCTCAAGTACATGGCAGCACAAATATTAATACTAGCTTGCCCCACTCTATACCAAATGTGTATATACTTTAAAAGTATATAGGTACAGAACATTGTGGACACGATCACTGTTTGGTCTCCACTACGCATTTTTTGTGTCTTGAAATTAAAAACCCAACTGCTGTAGCTCAAGAATCAGCATCACCTGAGGAACCAGGTGGTACAGCTACACTGCCTACGCTATGTAGACCTTTTGAGTGCTACAAGTATGTCTAGGAATACATGGGAAAATAATTCACAATTTATTGCACTTACCCTCTTATTTTTTTATTCTAATAAATTATTAATAATAAAAAGAGCAAGACATATTATGACTAGTACTTTTTACAACTATCTTCAAAATAAAACAACTTTGAATGCATTTTCACACTGAAGCTAAGAGATACTTTTTTGGATAATAACAGATAATATTCACAAAGAGACATTATACTGACATTTAGTATTTAGTGAATTACATTTATAATCAATGTTGATTGGAGGAAATGTTAAAATACATTAAAAGGGCACTGACGTCATGATCAAAATCTTTAGAGCCTGCACAATTCTGTTATAGTACAGGTTTCCAAGGTGTCTCCAACTCGCTGTGTACTTGAGGCTGATCTTTAATCGTCCTTCACCTCCTAAGTGTTGGGAGTGTAGGCATGTGTTGCCATGCCCAGCTAGAGCCCACACAGTTCTTTAAAGCTGTAGGTCCCAAAGCTCAAGCTCCTTAAGAGGAAAATACAAAAACCAAAAAAACAAAACAAAACAAAAAAACCCAAACAAACAAAAAACCAACAACCAACCCAAAAAACCCAAACCCAAACAGAAGCTTACTGAATATGTTCCAAGATCTCCCAGGATATAGACAGCCTCAACAGAGTGCGGTGTGTTAGGTTCTGGGGCATGAGAAGCTACCAACTGAGAAAACTTCAATGACAGAAGTGTGGACACTTCAATTGGCAACATTTAAGTATACATCTTAAATACTGTAAACATACAACAAGATACACAATTCTGCTCCAAAGTCCCTTTGGCTGAAGACATAGCTGTTAAGTAACATATGGAAACAGCACTTGAGGAAACTGAGCGCCTCCTTATGTGATGGGCACACAAGAACCTCGGCCCAAGCCCTTTATATTTCCCTCTACACAATGTCAGTAAAACTAAGGCCTGTCATAAAGCATCTCAGTTTCAAAGTCTTCATTTATCTGTTCTAATGACTGGATCCATTTCACATTTTAAAATATAGCAAATCCACAGGAAAATTCTAAGTTCACATATTGTTTAAAATCATAGTTTATATCACTAAAGATTTTAAAATTTCAACTAGTAACTCAAATGTGAAAAACATACCTATGTCAGGTAAGGAGACCTGACATCAGTGCCCAGCCTGAGCTAATTCCCTACAGCCAGATTCCTGTCTAGTTGTCAGTAAACTCAGAACTGATTTAAGTACCACACACACCCTTACACCACAACCCAAGGCTATTCTGTGGTTGGGGCAAATTGTGATGGGGTTTTAAGATGTTTCCAGGCTGGCTTTGAACTCATGAGCTCAAGAGATCCTCTTTAGCCTTCGAAGTAGTTAGGACTACAGGGGTGATCACTGTGCCCAGATTAGAACTGAAAATCTTTATAATTCCTCTAGGTTTCTTTTTGTGTTGCAGAAATAGTGCATGGTTGGATGATGAACACCTCTCATTTCAGGAATACTTTTCAAAGGCTGATGCCACTACGGAAAGGACTGTGGTAAAGGTATTTTAACCCTTGTACTAATGTTTAGCACTTTAGGGCAATAAGCAAATTAAATCCTGAGTCAGTGACAAGGAGGCTGACTGCACGGCAGAGAAACGACCTTGGCTGAGCTCACAGTGGGCTCACAGCACACACACGCCACACACCCATTCAGAAAAGGGCACCTCTACACAGGGAAGCAAAACCAATTTTTGATTAGTTGACACAAAGCAGGGACTGTTTCAGGACACTGGACAGTGGCACCTGCTGCTCTGTGGCTCGTCTGTCTACTAGGCAAGAGCTTTGTGTTAGGCTTTCTTCGTCCTCTGCTCCAGTTCATGCTGGTGTTTAATAAGGCGTTCTATTTCTGTTCCAAGTGTTTGCAGGTTTTCCTTTAATAAGTGGGGGGAAGAGAAAACAGAAGTACTAAGTAAATACCTTTTGAACTACCTTTGCCTACTAAACTGTGAAACCGAGTGATTATTCTTGGTACTGACATAATCCAGACACAGATGTTTTAGGGAAATAGGCCTGTCCATCTCAAAGTTATAATTCTTTCTTGAATCAGGCTCTCTCTATGTAGTCTTGGAACTGACTATGTACACAGATTAGGCTGGCTTCAAACTCACAGGAGTTCTGCCTCTGTGGGGATTAAGTGTGTGTGGCACCATAGCTGGCCCCAAGTTATAATCTTTTTGCTGCAGCTGCAGCAAGTTTTAATGCATGATGATTACTTTGGTTTAAAACTACTTTTAAAATCTATTACAAGTTATCAAGTCCATGCATAGCAAAGACAGAAAAGTTGGGTCAGACAACAGCTTAAAAAAATAAATAAATAAATGTTGTAATATTACAAAGCTGTAACTAAGTATAATCATTCTGCAAAAACCATCCACTGTGAAGCAAACAGTTCACTTCTGTGTCTGTCCAGTAACTAAGCTGACTTTATTTCTGGGTATCATGGCATCCTGTGTTAGAAAAACAGCCTGGTGCTGGAGAAATGGCTCAGCAGTTAAGAGCACTGAGTGCTCTTCCAGAGGTCCTGAGTTCAAATCCCAGCAACCATGTGGTGGCTCACAACCATCTGTAATGGGATCCAATGCCCTCTTCTGGTGCGTCTGATGACAGCTGCAGTGTACTCATAGAAATAATAAATAAATAAATATTTTTTAAAAAAGAAAGAAAACCAGCTTGATGCTAGGAGACTATGGAAGAGGCACCATCTTGCCCTGGTCACTGAGTGGTAAATGAATAAGAAACACAAATACCTTCAAAGTAATATTTTTTAGCAATGTATCTTCCAAAACAGCCTGTAATTTTCGGTTGATTTCCAAAGAGAGCTCCAGTGTTAGCCCGCTATCAGCGGGATGAGATGTGTACAAGGACGCCATGACGCCACCGCGTCTACTCAAATGCACTTTGTTAAAATCAGATGCTTCTGAAGAAAGTGTGCCTGATTCTTCTCGTAAAACGTAACTCTGAATTATTCTGCAAAACAAAATGATACTCTGTGTGCTTGCAGAATACACACACTGGGGTTTGCAGGAAGCAATGAATCTCAAGCATAAAGACGGTCAGCATAAAGTACACCCTGGTTAGGCCAGTGACCTAAGTTAGCTTAGACGTTCCTTATGTATTAGACTGTCTCTTAACCCGTCCCTTTTTGTTGAATAATGGTATTTGAAGAAGTATAAACACAGCTCTTCTGTTTCTTTCCACACATGTATGTAAATATTTTAGTCATTATTGGTTTGATTTCTGTTAATATTTTCTGTTAAACTACTACTGAACTCTATTTTGCTCTTTCTTTTAAAATCTTACAATTTTTCTACAGGTCTAAACGTTTTTCAAAATAACTGTTTAAGAGGTCAGCAGAAGACTCAAAACATGAAGACAACTCTTATTGAAGTAAGTGTAGCACCTGGGAGGTTCGGTGCAGCTCAACTGTGGGCCGGTCAGTTGGAGCTGAGCTTGGTCTGGCCCTCCCTCACAGGGAAGGCTGCTCTTGGTAGATTTAGTAACTAATTTGAAAATCCAGAGAACACACTCTGCTGCACAGCGGCTTAAAGAACTGATGACCTAATCCCAAGACATCAGAGTGTCTTCTACCAAGATGAACTTGATTACTACCCCTTTGAGCAGTAGGGAAAACCTCTCAAAACTCCACATATATTTTAGAATCATTCACTTTTAAAGGCTAAGTATATATTTTTTTAAATCCAAAATAATCTTAGTATGTTAAAAAGCAAAATCACTACCCTCCACACTCTCACTCACACACACACTCTCTCTCCTGATATTCTACCTTTAAGGACAGGCTTGGTTTTCTTCCATCTCTGTATTCCCAAAGCTAGAATACAACAGGTGATCCAAAAAGATGGAGACCTTGATGCTCTAAGAATTATTAAGCAGGTATAGTACCGCCGTCCCACCTACACAAGAAGCTGACGCAGAAGGACCCTTGGAGCCCAGGAATGCAGGGCCAGCCTGGACAACATGATGCACCCCATGGAAAACATCAGCTCTTCATCAACTTCTGAGGCCATGCAGATGGCCGTCCTCGGACACAGGTCATCATGCTACCATAGTAATACATACTTGGTTTTCTTTCTTATTTCTTCAACCAGCTGTTTGATGTGGTCCTCCATGAATTCTATTTTCTCATTCTTCCGGGCATGGGCTTTCTGCAGCCTCACTATTCTCTCAATCAGCATGGCCTTGTCTACTTCTGGGAAGTTGTCCACAGCCACTGAGGAGCTAGTATTCTCTGGAGACCGGTCTTCAGCACTGCTTCGAGCATTAAGTGACCCTGACAACAGAAGAACAAGTCCAGCACATGTGACCTAGGTCCCCCTCACCCCATCTCATGCTTTCTAGTAATACTGCCCAACATGGGCAAGAACACATAAGGTTACGTGTGGCCACTATTCTTGTTTGAAAGACAGCAGCAGTCAACAGTGTTACATTACACAGGAATGAGATAATGAACTGACAACAGAGAAATAAATCTTAAAAAATACAGGGAATAGCAAGCCCACAGTAATTTTGAAAGTAAATGATATCATTGAGAGGGGAAAAAAGGGGGGGATACTCAAAAGGGCGTGGGAGGGGAAGAGATGGGAGGGAGGAGGAGAGAGAGGGGAGAAGAGAGAGAGAGGAGAAGGAAGAGGTGAGCATGCCTGCCTGCTCAAATCCGACTCCACTTAGTAGTCACTACTAAATAGTGTGACTGTGGACACAATATTTTACCCTCAGTGCCTAGGCTGTTTCTGCTAGAAACAGTGACTTACCTCATAGGACTGTCATCCTCATGTAGATGTGATTACTCCCCAGCCCCCACACCTGCACATCTGCACACCTGCACACCTGCACTTTGTAAATGCTAGTTTTCTACCCGCACCCATGAGATCAGTGTCCGAGCCTCCTCACCCTACAGCTTACGCTTCTCAGCCGTGTCATGATGGATGTGAAAACTGTAATATCCTAGTGCAAACTCAACAATCCAAATCAAATGCTTTTAGCTGGGACCTAAGATACAGGGTTTCAAACCATGTACTTTCTGTTAACATATTTTGTTACTACAGTAACTGCCACTGTTGCTTTGCCCCTAACACACAATTCTAGGAGATTAGCATAGTACAGCTACTCTAACAGAAAGTAAAAGAGGGCAGAAAGGCAGAGGCAGAGATAGATAGGCAGAGAGAAAGAAGGAACACAGATACACAACTGTCCCGTCCATATGTATGAGATCCCTGTCCATAGGTTCAACTAACTTCAGACCACAAACGCTTTTTTAAAAGTGTCTGTGCTAAGCACGCAGATTCCCATGTCCAGACAGTTTACACGTGCATCCCCAACACTCACGCTGTATTAGGTACTGTACGTGGTCTAGAGGTGACTTAACGTCTGCAGAGGACTGTGCAGATTATAGTCACTACAACATCTTACAAAGGCTTCAAGGCCTGAGGAGTTTAGTATCCACTGAGTGCTCTGCAACCATGGTCACGTCATCATCTGGGGCTAACATATGGAAGTGAGTCCAAACACAGGAACTCTGTGGATAAGACACAAATCTGAACTGCAGAGATGAAAGAGGAGGCACAGAATACAAAGTGGTAGTTTGGTAAAAAATGGCTGGGAAGTCTCATGCAGCCCAAGTTGGACCAGGAACTCTGGCAAAAAGCAGAGTGTAAATATTTAATAAGGTACATTTTCCACAATATAATTATATATGCCTTCTGTTTTTAAGCCTCAAAATGAAACAAAGCATATAAATACTTTTTGAACTAGAAACAGTCACTACCAACTAAGCTCCTCCTTACCGGATGAACTAGAGCGACTTCCCATGCTGCTAACGTCTTTATCGTAGTTTCCATTCTCAGTCTGGTCTAATTTTCTCCGTGCTATTTAAAAAAAAGAAAGAAAGAAAGAAAGAAAATCAATTACTTGTGACAGTTTTAATGACCATTTACCCATGCCATCTGACATTAATTGCTAAAGTCACTTGGGCAAAAATGGCATGGCCCAGAAGACAACAGTCCTTGCTATAGACTTTAGAACACCAGAGACGCCATTCCTATAAAATGACATTTGGAAACGTACAGACTGCCAAAGAAACAGACAACCGAGCTCTGCATTGTTTGCTTACTGTTCACTGACTTAGCTTTGGGAGCTTCAGACATGGAGATCCTTCTCAGTTTGAGAAATCTCTCCCAAATGTGCCTTCAGTTCCATGTGTACAAACAGAGCTGGAGAGATGCAGCAGACAGTAAGAGCACTGACTGCTCTTCTAGAAGACCCAGGTTCAATTCCCAGCACTCACATGGTGGCTCACAGAGGATCTGATACCCTCCTTTGGAGTCTGTGAGTAGCAGACACAGATGTGGTGCAGAGGTGTGCTGGCCAGAAACCCGCATTCATAAAAATATATCTTTAAAAAAATTATTGTAAGCTGTTTTGGCAAATACCTAACCATAGTCATATTAAGTAACCCCAGATCTCATAGTACTACATTTTTTTGCTATTTTAAACACAGAGTAGGGCATACAGATAGGATGTTGATGTATATGCCTTTTTCACACTAACATATGGCAGATACTCAAAAGCCATTATGAATTTGCCATTTTGGTTAGTTTTCTTCTTCTTCTTCTTCTTTTTCAAGACAGGGTCTCAGTATATAGCCCTGGCTGACCTGGAACTCTCTACATAGACCAGGCTGAGCTTGAACTCACAGAGATTCTCCCAGTTCTACTTACCACGTAAAGGGATGCACCACCACATCTGACAGCCTGTTTTTTTTGTTTTTAAGAAAGGGTCATATGTGACCAGCTGGTCGTGAGCCCACCATGTAGCCGAGGATGACTGTCATCCTCTTGCTGTGACAACAGGCATTCATTAGTATATAGGTTTATTTGAATTTTTAACCAGGAAAAATCTGATTCCAATTCCAGTTATTAATGGCTGTGTCGACCAGCTGTCTGGTAGTTCACAGTACTTCTGAGGTGTTTCCCAAGATGCAGTGATCAGTAAGTGAGAGTCTGGAAATCAATCACTTCATAGGTGTGTACAGACATGAACATTGGAAGTGCTTTTTAGATTGCGATTTAAAGGCAGATCTTTCTCATGTTTTCTAAAACACATAATTTATATTTTAAATATAAAAATACATGAATTCTAGAAAAAAAGAAAAAAGCCACTTATACAACTTTTGCAGGGTAGCAGAATACCCAGTAAAAGGGTTCAGAGCGTCCCATCGGCTGGCCACTCCCATTCTGTGGCTTTCTGAGTAAACAGGCTTCAGCATGGAAAGCAGACTCCCAGAACCACAAGCTCAGCAATCTTAGTAATTTAGTCTGTGGATAAGTGACAAAGAATACACAGGCTGGGGACAGTGGCACATTCCTCTATTCCTAACACTGAGGAGGGTGAGGCAGAAAACCCGGTGTGTGAAGTGAGCAAGCTCTGCCTCAAGGATTACAGCCAAACCTGCGCCTAAAGAAAAGCCAACCAAACACACAGCCCGAGGGACATGGGAGCACAGAGGGACAGACAGACAGCGCACCTCTGCATCAGAGCGCTGAGACAGACATGTGCTGGGAATCAACAGCACGACATAGTACCTTGCTGAAGCTGCTTGCTGAGGTCCTTGACGTTAGAGGCATGTTTGCGCCTCTGCGTTACTAACTCATCTTTCAGCTCCTCCACCTGGGTCCTCAAGGCTGTAACTTCTGTCTGGGCAGCGGAAAGTTCAGCCTGCAGAGTCTGCACTTCCTCTTTTCGAAGTTCTTCCTCTTTGAGCAACCTGCTCTCCTGAATAGTAAGTGTGATAAAGTTGATTTCTTTTTAAATTTTAATTCTTGCTCAGTTTAAAAACTTTGTAAGTAAGGGAAGAAAGACTCTTCTGTGAGTGCCCTTAGCAGGCTCTGCTGGTGACCTCCTCCCCATCTCTACCCAGTGGCAAGCAGGTCAGGGAACACTCATGGTGTAATGTTCTGTGTGGGACACAGCTGCAATGTAAGTCTCCAAATTTTTGGAATTTGAAATGGTGACTCCAGTCCGGAATGACAGAAATCATGGTTCCTTATTTTTCCAAAGTGTAATATTCTTTATCATTTTAGAAAAATTCTATTATATGAATTATATCCATTAAACAGAAAACAAATATATTTTTACAAAATTTAAAATGACCAGATATCACTAAAAGAATATAAAATTTAATTATCATTTATACTTTGTTAATACTAGAGAAATTCAATCTTGCTATGTTAGTCTAGGAACTAAACATGAGGACTGGAGTTAGGACGCTGGCTGCTCTTCTAGGGGACAAGGCTATGATGCCCTTAGCTGGCCTCTGCACTGGTCCTACGTGGTGCAAACATACATGCAAGCAAAATGCCCATTAGAGGAAGGCGAGGAGGAGAGGGAGGAGGAAGAAAGAAGAAGAGAGGAAGGAGGAAGAAGAAGGGAGGGAAAATGAGGGAGGAAGGAAGAGGAAGGAGAAGAAGGAAGAAGAAAGAAGCGGGAAGGATAAGAAGGGAGGAGGGAGAAGGGGGAAGGGAAGAGGAGGAAGAGGAAGAATGAAATGTGCATTTATACTCACCAGAGCACTGTTAGCCTGCTCCATCTGCTCGCACTGGCTTTGCAGCTGACTCTCGCTGTAGGAGAGGTTATCTACCTGTGACTGCAGAGAGCTGGACTCAGACTGCAGCTGTGCATTCTTACTAGTGAGCTTCTCTGTGAAAAGCAGGAGCTCAGACTCTCTTTTCCTGCTGCCTTCAATGTCTTTCTGTAGGTCGTTAATCAAAGAATTAAGGCTTTCCATTTCTTCCTTCAAACGTTCAATTTCTTGCTTACCACTAAAAACAAAGTTTATATTTAAGAAAACTTAAGTAAGGTATTAAAAAGCATTACATTAATAGTATAGGAATTTTCACTTTACAATGTTTTACAGAAGAACTTGTAATCATTCATCCATTCAAACATCATGTTGGCTTCATGTTACAGGAAGAGCTGTGAAGAGTAAGAAAGGCTAACACAGCAGGGCCCTGCTCTCAGAGCCTCCAGTGATCAGTGTGGTGACAGTGAGCAGGCAGGAGGCCTGAGTTCATGAAGAGTGACCACCATCCCACACAAGGGCAGGCAGCAAACAGGGCAGGCTTCTAAGCCATGCTTTCATCTCATTGTTGGCGTTCTTTGCCTAAGTTGTACGTTGTCTCTGCACTGTGAAAACAGCCACAGACAGAACTCAATGGATCAGTGTGCCTATGTTCTAAAAGGCCTTCCACTAACAAGAGCTGGAGAGATGGCTCAGTGGCTAAGAGCGGTGGCTCACAACTGACTGTGACTCTCGTTCCAGAGAGCTCACTCTCTCGTCTGGCCTCCAACGGTACCAGGCACGCATCTTGTGTACATACACACACAGGCAAACATTCACACACACAGTTTTTTTGGGGAAAAAAATCTTATAAAGGACAATCGATAAAGGAATATTCAAGAAAGCTGAAGAAGGAACAAGGCATTGGACCCACAGCAGAAGTGGAGAGAAGAATCCAATTCAGAGAAGAAGCATTTCTTGCACAATGACCATAAGGAATGGTTATGGAAGCTAGCAGCTCAAAAAACTTAATCACATGCCAGGAGAGAGAAAGCAATACAACCCAGCAGAGACACTAGAAAGACAGACATCTGGAGAGGAGATGCAGTTGATGACTGATGTCCCCACTGAGGATGGTGACTGTGAGGGTCAGAACCTGTCTTTAGCAGCACTGGGGTAGACGCCTGGAGACAGACAGCAAGGACAATGAATTAATCCTGAATCCAGGCTCTGCTAGATGATGTCAAGAACTGAGTTTAAATGATCCTGGGACATCACGCTTCTGACCTCAAGGCGCACATAAAGGTAAAGACCCTGGTGCAGACTCCCGCTTCCCTTCTAGAAGAGTGACTGCGAAGCCACAGAACAGATAAACTAAATTCACCCATCTATGAATGGTTCCTGTCAGTGCTTATGAAATACAAACATTGATTTGACTTTTAGAAGTCATGACAGGAATTCAAAGACACAAGCTGAAGACTTGTTAACTGGAAGAATTGTAAGAATTGTTCCTGTTTGATACGGTATTGTACTCAAAGATGTCATCTTGAGACGTCATTTAAAAGCCACCACTCATTTCATACCTTTGAAGCTGCTCCTGTAACTGGTCAGCGATTTTCACCTTGTCCAATAAATTCTGAATTTCAGCTTTCTGTCGATTGATAATTTCCCTGTACTTTGATAACTCATCTTCGGTTCTTAAGCGTTCATCTTCTAGACACTTTGCCTATAAAATGATCACAATCAGGCTGAAGCCCAGGCCGCTGGGCTCACATGAATGCGCTCAGACAGGGCGGACACATGAGTGACCCGAGACAAATGCTACAGTAGAGTTGCTGGGAAGAAGGCAGGAAGCTGCTTGGTCTCACCAACTTCCTGTCTCCTTATCTGAACAACAACTTCCCATCCTGCAGTGAACACCTACCTGAAAGACAACAGGACAGACATAGCAGACACTGGGTACTGCGCTGTGGTCTCAACTCAAGGTGCCTATACAAAACCCTACTTCTGGATAAATGACTGGCACGTGGAGACAGCATGTGAATCTGACCACAGATGTAGTTAGAAATTACTATTAAATTCAGCCAGAAGTAGTATTTTCGGTCTTAAAGGGTGTTTTATGGTGACATAAGGTGCTGTGAGGTCCACTCATCTTGCCAACTGCTCTGCTGTCCTTAGCTCCCAGGCCCAGATATATCTGAGGTACAGACACTGAAGTGTGCCATGATAAGCACCTTCCAGTGACTAACACCACTGCAGCTCAACAAGAGTCAGTCAGTGCAAAGAAAACGCTAGTCTTTTCCTAAGTTCTTTTATTTTGATAGATTTCTAAGTCTTGCTTTCCGAACACCTTAAACACAGAATAAACCTAGTGTCCACCCGCCTGAGTCAGGACCGAGGACCTGCTTACTTTTGTTCTCAATGTCCGTAGCTCATCCATGCCCTCCTTAAACGTCCTCTTCAGATCTTCTAGTTCCTTTATTTTGGCATGATGCATCTGGAAAAGAGACACACATCCTAAGAGACATGGGAGCACTAGCAGTATTTTGCCTGTTTCTAAGGCCTTAGGTGCGGAGAGTCAAACACTCCACTCCTCTTCCTGCAGTACAGCCCAGCCGATCATGACTGATTATAGAGAAGGGAAGAACTGAACTCACCTCCAGCTGGTCGGATTTCTCTTGCATTTGCTTTTCAAGTTCTCCTTTTGTGACTCGGAGCTTTGCATCTAGCTCATTGGACTTAAGTTCCTCGGATTCCTAATGGCAAACCAATGAAAAATGCTTTACTGTGAGAAGAAACAAAGCATTGCTATCGAGTGTACTAGCTGTGCAATAGATTGTGCGGCTAAGACTGCAGAAAGCATTAGAGGACTTTAAATGTTAACTGAGCGGAAACAGGAACGTGGAGTGTACAACGTAATCCATCATTTTCTACGACTTTTTGATAGGAAAGTCTGATAAGATCAGTCATGTGTGTATGTCCCTGTGTGCCCGTGGAGGCCAGAGGGAACGTCAAGGCTCCTCGTCAGTCGCTCTGCACTTCATTTTTGAGACAGGCTATCATATAACCTCAAGCTGATGGATGTGGCTGGCCGGACTGGCCAGTGAGCTGCATGGAGCCACCCGCCACACCTCTCTTCACCCTGACAAAGCCAAGGTTAGGGCTCACACTGCCACACTCAGCTTTGTATGTGGGTGCTCAGGTCCTCACGCTCACATGGCAAGCATTTCCCCACCAGACCGCCTCCCCACCTTGAACTGCAGGTACCTCAACACAGGAACTAACTTGTATTTAACTACTGTTTAAGAAATGCATGTACACTTCAGATTTGGCAGATCTGGAAAGTGTATGAAAATAAGAGTTCTAATAACTGATTTATTTCACAAAGGATCCATACCTGATACGTTTTTATCATATCCTGACAGTTTTGCCTGATCTGCTCAGCTTCTTCCTTTGCCTGGGTTAGTTTTGTAGTTGTTTCTTTGAGTTTATCTTTGGTTTCCTGCAGTGACAACGTGACAGAGACAACATCAGCCACAGTGAGGTGGAGGACAGGGAGGGCAAAGAGGTTCCCTGCTTGTGGGGCTCAGGACACTAACAGGAGGTATGGTCATGTGGGTGGGCTGTGAGGTTTCAAAGCTCACCGTTCCTGATAGCCAAGGACCCAGATGTACTCTTAGCCCTTCTCCAGCGCCATCTCTGTCTGCACTCCACCAAGCTTCCCACCACAACAATAATGGACTAAACCTCTAATGTAGTTCCCAATTAGATGTTTTTCTTTATAAGAGTTGCTGTGGTCATAGTAATGGAAACCCTAACTAAGACACTGTTGTAGCACTGGTCTAGGGACTAAGCAGGAGTCTAACCATTTGCTTGTTTCTGACAGGGAAAATGGCTAACAGTGAGACTGACGGACATTAAGTTAATCAACAGTCTTCTCCAGAGTGCTCCAAATGACTACAGCAATACGAAAAGCAAAGGGTTCTATGGCTTGTGCACACCCCAGAGATTCTCTAGTTGAGGCTTTGACATCCATTTGAAGCTCCTTTTGACTGAACAACACTACTAAACATGGCCTCTGTTGGAGACTCTGCTGAAATGGCAATTCTTCATGCAGGATTTTTAGGACTTACCCTCATCAAAACCCATTCCTTTTCCTTATTCTTATTTTTACTCACCTGTTTTATTCCTGACTGCCCAACTCTTCACATGTCTCTTGCCCTCAATTCCCACTGAAAACACACACTCTCTCTTTTGTATATTCTATCCTCCTTTTTCCCTGCTTGCTTCCCGCTCTCTGGTAATCTCTCTCCCAGCTTCCTGACTGCAGATACAGTGTGACCAGCCCCTCAAACTGTCAGTCATGCCTTTCCTGCAATAATGTACAACTGTGAGTCAAAAAGACCTTCCTTCTGTTTTGGTACAGCGAGGAGAAAAGGAATGATTGACGCCTGCTGCTCCCGTGGAGCCCCAGGCACCAGCCTCTCTGCTCTAGGCAGCCCAGTGTCCTACTCCCTCTGTGTCTCTCTTCTGTTCTTATGCTTGGACAGCTTGCCTTTCTCTCTTCAACATCTGCCCTGCACCGAGGTTCCACACACTACTTCATGTGCCATTTTAACAATAAATATCATAGAACTAAGCACTTATATACCTTAAGGTACTGGTCTTTGATAGTCAGTGGCCAGTATCACTTAAAATATAGTAACACAATAACCCGGATACTTTTTCAAAGGCTCTTAGACTAGGGAACGACAACTGTGGTTCTGCATCCTCACCACTGTAACTAAGACACAACTGACACAGAGCTCTAGTCTACTTTAACACCTTCAACCCAGCAAGTGAGATTCCTGTGTGCCAGGTAACAGTGAACACTTGAATACATGAGAAGAAAATGCCATCGTGTCAGGTTAAGGATGCTTACTGTGTATCTTCTACCTATCAGCTGAGCACTTGCAGACACTGCTCCTTTCTGTGAAATCGTGTATGCGAGTTTGCACATGTGCAGAGCTCACAGGATGACCTCAGCTGTCAGTCCACACCTTCCACACTGTTGCAGATGGGAGCACCAGGCTAGCCAGCCTACAGGCTTCTGGATCCTCCATGTAACCAGTCCCCCAACACACACACACACACACACACACACACACACACACACACACATACATAAGCACACACACAGACTCACACAAGTGGCCCTGTTTTGACATGGGTTTTTGGAAATTTGCCCTCAGGTTCTCACTTGCACGACAAGCACCCTGCCCCACTGAACCATCCGCAGCCTTACAGGCATCGCTCCAGTCTCACTGCTGTGGAAACAAACAGAAATGTCTACCCTCAAGGCGCCGACAGTCTACGGCTAGAGGTAACAAACAAGCAAAGGACACAAGTAAAGGCTTGGATGGTCATCATACATGCCACAGCCTGCCGGAAGCACAGGTCCTGGCTTTAGGCAACTGAGCAGAAGAACACATCCAACACAAAGCACACTCATCACAGAGGCACTAGTGTGTGTAAGTTAGACAAACAGAGGAAAAAGAGAGCACACAGACAGTACACACGACTGAGCACTATGCTCTGAATTTATAGCAACTCAGGCAGTCAGAAATGGTTCTTTATGGATTTCACTTTTAATTCCTCACTGTGTAACTCAGAGATAGATAACCCTGAGCAGCTGAGCTGGGATGCCCCACTGCTTTCTGGCAGTTCTCTGTAGTTCCCTCACCAGCCATGGGTCTCTGAGTGGCAGGAACAGACCATGCTGCTAACCTACCCTTTGATCACTCTCAACACAGACTACCTACAGTTTCCTGATACCAACATACACATAGCCAAAGACAATTAACAACAACCTAATTGACTTGGTAATCAATCCTTAATAAGGCAGGCTGGAACCAGGCTCCACAGTGCATCAGTGAGCCTGTTTTAGGAAACCTAGCAGGGGACCAGCTATTCGCAGCACCACTCTTCTTTCTGTGTGGTCACTCAGAGCTGACTTTTACCATCCATTCTCTCATCTGCTGACTTTTATTTCACTGAAAACAAGCTCTAACTGGGTTTAAATCATACCATCAGTTATTAAACTTCCTAACTTTTGGTTGTGACCCTAGCCATTAATCACTGAGCCATCTCTCCAGCCTTGGACTTTATAAGTCTATTTCATTATATTAATCTTTAAATAAGATGACATCTGCAGCAAGCAGTTCAGCAGGAATCACAGGTAACTGCCTAGCATGCGTGTGAACCATAGTTCAGTGTCTAACACATGTGCATCACGTACATACAGATTTTTGCTAGCCTAGTAGCAAGTTTATAAAAACAGATAAGCTATTTGTATTAGTTATATTTAAATATGAACAAGTATTTTTTAATTATAGGAATCAATATAATTGATACTTTAATTTCAATAACGTATATTAAATATTATTCCTTCCCTCAAATTTTGAGTATTAAAACAATAAACTATGAATTATAAAATTTAACATTCTAAACCATGCCAGCAACCTTTCTTTTTTTTTTTTTTTATTGGATGTTTTATTTACATTTCGTATGTTGTTCCCTTACCCCATCCCCCACTCACCCAGGAACCCCCATCCCCTCACCCCTCCTCCTGCTTCTCTGCGGATGTAACCCCTACCTACTCCCCCACTCCCACCTCCCCACCCTCAAATTCCCACCCCCTGGGGCGTCCAGCCTTCATGAGGCCAAGGATCTCTTCTCCCACCTATGCCCAGCAGGGCGCTCTTAAATATACAGCTGAAGCCAAGGATCCCTCCCTAAGTGCTCCCAGGCTGGTGGTTTAGACCCTGGGAGCTGTGGTTGGTTGGTATTGTTGCTCTCCTCATGGGGCCACAAACCCTTTCAGCTCCAATGGTATTCACTCTAACTCCTCCATTGGGAACCCCATGATCAGTTCAATGGCTAGTTGTGAGCACCTGCCTCTGAATAAGTCAGACTCTTGCAGACCTCTGAGGCCAGCAACCTTTCTTATGATGATGCAAACTAAGCTGCAGGAGTCCTGCCTCACCTCACTGGCAGACAGCTGACTTGTTCTTAATACTCACCGCTACCCACAGCATGGCCACACTCACCTTGTGTGAGTCCATTTCAGCTTTTAACTTGTTTTGCGCCCACTTTACTTTAATGATGTGAGAGTTCATCTCCTCCTTTAACTTCTCTATTTCTCTGATGAGTCTAGTTGTTTCACCTTCCTAAAAAGACAGTGTCATTTGTCATTTAAACAATCAACTATGCATCTTGTATTTCCCCCTGTGCAGTAACACAGTAATTCTAGGGCAGGTATTCTATGGCCCAGAGGCCACAGAGCTGATTTAAGGCCAAAATGATTAGAGAGTAATAAAGCCCTAAATCAAATCAATAGGCATGGGGATAATCATTACCTACATTAGCTAGTGGGTACAGTGTAAGACAAACATGCTGATCCTTCATAACTGACAGCAGTAAGGTGACTGAACTGGTTCTGCTACACTCCCTGAGGACAGTGACAGCATTTCTAAACAGAGAATAGCAAGGGCTCTGAACAGCTTCCACCTCAATTACTCAACCTTCTAGGACAGCTCTAGAATAAATATGTTTTCAATAAGAAACATATCAATAGTGCTCTCTGGTGACTGTGCTGCACTGAGACTCTGGCCAGGCCTGGAGCCCTGCTCAGCAGTAGACACATTGCCCAGCCTGTATGAAGCCCTACATCCAATCTCACAATGCAGGGGGAAAATGTATTAGATAAAAAAAACAAAATAGATCCTGGACAAATTATACTTCTAATGTAAAGCTATTCACAACTGACACTGATATGGACATATCTTAGCAAAACATAAATTTTTAGAAACACAAACTAATTTTTCCAATAGACTCTAAAAGAAAAGCTGATTAATAACACTTGCCAATACCTTGCCTCCCCCCACCCCTTGCAAACCTTTCTAGTAGCAGGGAATGACACACCCAACACACACACGTGAGTGAGCTAGTGAGAGCAAGCACGTCCTGACTGAGTGTTGCAGTTCTACACCACTGTGGGACTAAGGAAAGCAGAGGCATGACCTTCAAATTAGGCACAAGTTATACCTTCGATTCATAGAGTTGCTGCAGCCGCCCTTTCTCCTGAGACAGCTGCTTAATTTTGTTAGTGTTTTTCTCCAATTCCTTACTTGCATCTCTAAGCTTCCTCTCAAGGGTCTCTTTGTCCTTGCGAAGGTCTAGAGACTCCTTCTCGCCTCGCACATACTTCATTACCATTGCTTCCTTTTCCTGGCGGGCCTCTTCACATTTCTTATTGGCCTTGGAAAGAAAATGTTACCTAGCATTAATAAAAAAATACTTTCACATGGTAACATACATAAACAAGCCCTGTCCCTGTGGTGTTAGGATGGACCTGTGCTCTGTTTCCAGCCCTTCCTTACTCTGCTCTGGCTGCTGTGGTTTCTACTTATATACATCCCCTTCTTCTCCACATCTGCTTTCTTGCCGACTTCTGTGCCACTCTGGGCCCCAGGAAGAGGATCATGGGTTACATTAACAAACTCCATTAGCCTCACACCCAGGGTCAGCTGTCAGAATCAGTAGGCACAAGCTTGGAAGGGGGAGGCCAGGCTTCTGGGTCACCAGAGGTCAGCTAACACAAGCTCTCTCTCTGGGAGAGAGTCCTACTCTGGAACCTCTAGAACTGTAACATAAATATGCTTCTTTTTTGTAACAGAGTATCTAGACTCAAGCATTTTGTTGTAGCAACACAAGAGGGCTAATAAAACCTCAAGCACACATTCACGGTCACTAGTGCACATATATGCAGTGTAACACAATGTCAGCCATGGGACAGGAAAGATATAAAATGTCAGCTATGGGACAGGAAAGATATAAAGAAACTGGAGGGAGACACAGGTGAAGAGATGACTCATTTTTCCCATATATTCCTTAATTTATTTATTTTTAAATTAGAATGTACTTAAACTTATGTATGGCCGCCTTAGCACTGTTTGAGATTTCTTTTTTATTTATGCGTACATGCGTGTCTGTTGGAGCACATGCGTGCGAATACTCTTAAAGCCACAAGAGGGCATCAGAGCCCTATTACTGGAGTGACAGACAGGTGGTTGGGAGTCTTGTGACTGGATGCTAGAAAGCCAACTCTGGACTTCTGCTTGACCAGTGAGCATTTTCACAGTTGAGCCATCCTTCCAGCCTGCAACTTCCTTTAAAAGCTTTTATGTAAACACCAGTGATGTCATCACCAACTGTTACAGTCTAACAAACAAGAAGCACCAAATTATCAAATTAATAGTGACCGGAAATACCTGGTCCATCCGCTGGGCCATGTCTTTATGGATTTGCTGGATTGCATTTTTGGCTGTGACATCCTGTGCTACTAGCTGATCCTTGGAAGCTTTAACTTCTTTATTCAGTTCCTCTATTCTTAATTCTAACTGTAAAAGAATGATTTCCAGGTTATGTTTTATAGCTGCACCAAACAGACCAATGACGCCTTAATTAATACACACAATGCAAATGAAGACTGTAAGACAAAGATGACTCTCCTCAGGTCCCTCACAAGCTTTTACCCTTGTAAGTTTGGCTTACATGTGCTAGACCTAGAGCACATAGAAAAATCTGTTAACTACTGCATGTGACAACTCACACACAGTCTTTTTCCAAATACGTAAAAGTGCAATAAATACATATCAAAACACAAGAAAACGAAAACTTGGTTTAACTTGTTATATTCTACAGCTGTTTGATGCTGTTTGCGTTAGCAGCTTTCTGGATGGACTGTAGGTCCATTCCAAGACTACAAACCCCACTGTCTCACAGCACTGTAGTTGAAGTGCATCTTCTCAGAACACAGCAGCACTGAGCTCTGACATCTAACGACAGGACACTCACACCCTGTCCACAGAAGGAAAGCAACTCAGAAAGATCAAGAGCAGTTTTTGCTTTGTTACCAACCTAAGCACTCACCTATGCATCCATGCAGAAAAGACACCGTTAAAAAGAAAGGGGCAGCAGATACCCTGACATGACCTTCACAGTAGAATTCACCAAACCCTGGGAATGAAGCCATGCTAAAACCACAAGTGAGAAAGTGTCCCAAAGGCAGACAGAAACACCGAGGTGTGACTACTATTAACTACTTCTTCCCTTAATTGGTAAGAACTTCAATCAAATCAAGCCTTTTCATCATTTGGGCAACAGAAAATGTGCTACATTTGGAACAGTTAAACATATCATAATTTATATAACATAATTTAGAATCATTCTAACAATTTAAATATGAAGCAGTTTCTTGCATTTGAAATGCTTTAACTTAGTTTATTACATGCTTTTTTTTCCCCCCAGGAGTTTATAAATTTAAGTATGGCCTTGGAAGACTTTTGTTTTTTACCTGTTTAATTGTGTTCATATGCTGTTTCTCTGTTTCTGTTCTTTTTTTCAGTTCTTCTCTTAAATTATCTTTTTCTGAACAAATATTTAATATAAGTTCCTGATGATTCTTATTTTCTTTAATTAACCTAAATATAAAAGGGAAATAAGATATGAAATATTATCTACCTACAGATTAGATATAGACACCTATGATCAATACTCTCAATCTTTTTATAATAAAATACCAGATCTGAATAAGAATACCCCACATCTAATGCTGCCTTCTTAGAGCACGTCCTCACCAGCAAGTGACTGAGTGTTTGGGGGTACACTGTCTCCAAGCCTGTCGTCACTAGAGGAGGAGCAAGTAGATGAGAGGGATGCAGAGCAGCCAGGTTTGTCACACGCCTAGGAATCACACTGCTGATTTACACACCAGATGAAAAACATCCTCTGGTCAATTAGCCCCATTAGGCAGGTACCTTACCATCGAGCCACACCCACAGCCTTAACCTGCTTCTTTGATATTCTTTGTTATTTGTTCTTCTTAGAAGTTATGTACGCATTCCACATGACAACTCTTCTTAAGAGTTTAATTTGGGTCACTGAACAATACTTCTAATGTATGAGATAACAAAATAAAAAGAGTGGAGTTGTATTTTCCAGGATCCAGAAAGCAGACAGAAGAGATTAGACCCAGAGAGTACAAAGTTCCAGGTTCAGACAAGTTCTGGGGATTCAATGGACAACACAGTGGTAGCAGGGCTGGGCGCAGCAGAGTACACACCCAGCACTAAGGTCCTCTAGCACAAAACAAAACAGGGAGAAGATGAAAAAAAGAAGAAAGAGGAGGCAAGGAAAAGAATGAAGGAAAGGGAAGGGAAGGGAAGAAACAAATGAGAGAACAGGGCATACAGCAAGACACAGACCCAGAGGAGGGAGAGAAGAAACAGTATTTTGAACAGGAAATTTGCAAAGAGAGTGTATCTTAAGGGTTTATGACACACACATAACTAACTACTAACTGTATGAGAAGATAAACATAGTAACCAGCTTGAATCATTTCACAATGACAATATATACAATTTTGCAAAAAAAAAAAAAAAAACCCTCAGTAAATGGGAATGAACATATAATCAGATATCTGGGAAAGAATGCATTTATGAAATCTTCAATAAAAGGAACTGAAACTTAGTGTTCTTCATAAAAAATTAAATTGAGGTAAAGTTAACATCTAGTTGCTTACCTGATCCAGCAAGTGTTTTATTAGAAATTAAAAGTATTATATGTAAAGCAAGAGATCAATGCAGGTTACAATAGCGCTGATATGATGCCTTACTATCCACACAGTAATGCCAGGCAAGCACCGTCTCTCTCACAGGAGAGAGCACTGACCCAGCTGCTGGGAATCCACAAGTCCAGGCTGCTGCTGACCACTCCGTACTCTACTGCCTGCTGCTCCCTCTGCTGGGTGGACAAAGAGCTTGTTTGTTTTTACACCTAATACTTTTCAGTTAAATTCAACAACTTGCAGCAAGATGATTTCTAATAACAACTGATAAAACTTCTGAAGCCAAAGTCAGAAGCTTGGCTCTGTAGCTATTTGCATCTGACCCGGAACAAGTCTCTTAGTCTACCTCAGGATGAGTCAGAGTAGTACATGTTACATATCCGTGAAGATCCCATGAGTTAACCTGTATGCCAGTCACAGAATTAACAGCATATGAGATTATTAAGTGTACATATCTTAAATGTTTACATGCTGTATAAACTGTTAAGATCTAAGGAAAGTAGGAAAGGGTATCAGAAATCTGTGTGTGTGTGTGTGTGTGTGTGTGGAGTAGGTCCAGACTGCAGGGAAGTGAAGAAGTTACCCCAAGCCTAGAAAGGCTAGCAGCACAGATGTCTGAGACATGAAAGCAGAGTGTATTAACAGGTCCGAAGTATTCCCAGTTAGCATCTAAGTGAGCAGAGGTGCTCTTAGGAAGGCCCTGGAGTTCCACAGTATGTGATCCCCAGCACCCATGCAAAGGTAGACAGGAGAAATGTCTCCACAAAGCTTCCTCTGACTTGCCCATGAGCACACCCTTCACATCGTAATACAGTCTTTTTTTTTTTATTAGAAAATTTAAATTTAAAAGGATTGGTCTGTGTTCCCTGTAATCCTAAGCCTAGTTTAAAATTGTGTGGTTTAGTGAAAGATAGTATGTATTATTTTTGCAACAGATTGTAACAGTATGCCCAAACTTATTATCAGTTTACTATAAAATGTACAATAAAATGCAGAATAAACCCGATTAGAAACAGGCTGAAGGTAATCAAACTCATCAAAACACTGTACAAATAGATGTTTAAAAGCAGAATGTGCTCAACTAATTCTTCTGTTCTCTAAATTGTAAGCTTTTGAACTGAGATTTCATGATTTAATTTCCCTTTGAATTTATTTTGATATAGCTAGTTTCAAAACTGAAGAACTTGAATTGCTCCCTAGTGCTCACACTACTTACCACCGTTACCCCTACGATTTACGACAGCAAGCAAGCAGCAAACGCAGGCTGCTCAGTTACTTGGGGAAGTAGAGCAAGTCTGCATGGCTGCAATCTCAAACAGGAGTGGGCCTGTGGGAGCTCCCGCCGCAGCAGACTTACTGTTTAATAGTGAGCTCCTGCTGCAGGTACCTGCTGTGTACACACTTCTCAAACAGGGCTAACGCCTGCTCTCCTTTATTCACTCCATTCGGTACTTGGTGTTCCTCTGCAAAGTCAGCAGATAAGAGCTCAGATTCTATCTCTCCCAACAAATCGTCTGAGGCTGAAACAGTCTTTATCTTTGAGATGAGTTTCCTGGTGCAGTCTGTGTCGTAGAGGCTTGCTGAGGAGGTCTTTGGATTACCAGCTTCTGTGGGTGCAGATGACTTTAACTCTGCCAGTATCTGTGTTACCGTGTGCTCTGGTTCCCTGGTTTTTGACACTTGTTTTGTAAAGTCCCCACCAGGAATGTCATCTATTTGTTCAGAATTTTCTGGGCATGTGTCTGTATTAGCACAAGAAGTCTCACCACTGCCACAGTCTGGAACATGGCTTTCCTGTACTTCAATCTGACTACAGTGTTTATTAGTCTGACATAAAATTCTGTCAGAGTTCAATGACAATAGTTCAGATCCCGTTTCTAATCGGCTGCTTTCATCACCAGAAACTGAGATGCATGAGTCGTCCTTCAACTCAGATGTTTTCCCAGTAGTTGTATCAGAAGAAATGGAGTCTATGTGCTCTGTCTCTGACATGCTGACTGGCACCAATTCACTTTGCATTTCTTCAAATCTGCTCCTAATCTTCATTTACATCTAAGAAATCAAATAAAAAAAATTAGAGTAAGACACTTTACACCTTTGCACACATTCCATGACTTGTCCGTGAAGCATCCCATTCATAATTCCTCTAATAAGGGCCTCCCCTAGAGAAAGAAGAGAACAAAACAGCCTTCCCAGAGTGGACACAACCAGTGGGGCCACCGCAGTCCCCCAAACCCCTTTGTTGTCATGGGCCAGCTGGCCTCACTAGTTAAGGGGCAGAACATGTGATGGGAAGATCAGGAAGGAGAATGGCCTCCAGTTCTGCGGGCACAAGCTACTGAAGCCCTTTAAGGAGCCGGGCAGAAGGACAGCAGCGAAAGCATTAGGCAGCAGTCTCAGGGCAGGCACATCAGTGAGTGATGACGAAGCTCACCAAGAAGGAAACAGGACCTGCTTCAGCTCAGACTGAGCAGGGACTGAACCGAGACAGGAGCAGCTTTCCCCCTTTCAGGGACCGAGGAAGTTCCTCTGCTTACTTCTAAGTAAGCCTTCTCTTCAGGGCACATCAAACACAGCCTATACCTACTGTCTCGGTCAGTAAGAGCAACATTTGATTTGACTAGGTGAGAGTATCTTTTTATATTATTTACAAAGTATTATTTTTATATTATTTATATTATTTCCTCCTCTATCTTCTTTATGGAAAATTAGTCAACTTCAAATTTTTCCCTAACATACAGAATACAAAATCTTCTACCAGGGGCTGTAGAGATGGTACAGCAGTTAAGAGTGCATACTGCTCTTAGGAAGGACTCAAGTTCAGCTCCCAGCACCCGTGTTGGGCAGTTCACAACTGCCTGTACTTTCAGCTCCTGAGGATCTGACATCCTCTTTAGGCCTCCTCTGGATCTGGTCTCATATGCACAACCCCTAACCCTGACACACATATACACATAATTAGAAATAAAATTTAATAAAAAAAAATCTAGCCAGGTGGTGCACACCTTTGATGTCAATACTCAGGAGGCAGAAGCAGGTGGATCTCTCAGTTCAAGGCCAACTCAATCTACAGAGTGAGTTCCAGGATGGTCAGAGCTGCACAGAGAAACCCTGTCTTGAAAAACAAACAAAAACCCTAGTGGTCTTGATGAAAAGAACTAGCTGTGACTCTGGCCATACTTCAACGGTGCACAGGCAGGCAGATGAGTTACCCTAGATGAGATTAGACTGCAACTAGGCAGAGGGGCAGCTACAATGAAAGAATTCTGTTATGAAGTATACACATGGGAAACAAGATTACATTTTATAACAGAAAAGCGCATGCTTTCTTCAGGCTTTGAGAAAGGTGATGATAAGATGAAACAAGAAAGATGATTGGCTGCATAGAACTCCTCAGCACTAAGCAGGAGGCAATTTTGTTACAGGTGAATTATAATAAATCCTAAGACTTGTACAACATTTGATTTTACTGTATGAATTCCAGCACTCAGTGAGCTCTCAAATACTTGGTGACCTAAAACCTGCATAAAATAAAAAAGGCTAGTGCTTGAAGAATGTTATTCTAGGACTGCGGAAAGGAGTCGACTGTAAGGAAGAAAAGGCCATCTTGTCTGTCCAACATGCTGTTCCTTTGGACCACCTGTGGAGACGACTACTACAGACAAAGAACTCAGGCTCCCAATCACTTAACTATGTACCACCTACCTCCAAACGACACAAATCAACACCACTGTGCTGTATATGCTTCATAAGCAAGCTGGTATCGATATTAAAGACTTTAGACCAGACAAATAAATGCAGTGAACACTTGAAAATCTCAGTAAGTTATTCCAAAATCTTGGATGAAAAAATGAATCTCAGGCAGGTACACTAGCCTCAAAGCAACTTACAGACTAGCTCACTCAAAGCAACTCTCTTTAAAGATGTAAGATGTGATATGACATACAATAAACAGCTCACTCAAAGTGACTCTTTAAAGATCCCACACGTGATATGATGATATACAGTGAATGGAAGATATACTGTGCTGCTGCTGCTGCTAAGGTTACAATCTTACAAACGTAAACCCGCAGTGGCTTTAAGCATCATAACTAGCTGATATTCTACCAACACAAGTTGAACTCACAGCATACGAATACGCACTGGTTGGCAGACAAGGAATGCCTTCAGAGGAGAACAGACGACAAAGGCATTGTGACTCTCCAGCATTCCGCTAAGTACAAAGAAATGGTATCAACAACTTTAAGAGTCTTACTTGTGTGCCACAATTTGTCAACAGAAAAATACATCCTTTCGTCCGGCTTCCTCGATCCCCAGGGTTCACTCTCCCATCTTCCTCCCTTCACAGCAGTTTCCCAGTTAGCTAACTGAAACAGTAACTCATAGCGGATGCCTAGATGAGTTTCAGTCCTGCACCCCGAGTTACAGACACAGAATCATGTATCCCCTCTTCATGCTATATTACAGTCTACCTGAAAATAGGCATTGGAGCTTTCTCCAAAGTCAATCTCAATCTGGCCAACTCTCCACTCTGCCCTAATGCTTGTAACTGAGTACTCTGTCCACAACATCATGTGCTTGGTCAACAGATGTCTCCCTTTTCTCCCTTTGCTTTCTTAATCTCTTAAACAATTGTTCTCCTGCTTTTCTGACGCTATCCCCTCCCTGAACCCAACCTAGGCCTCATCTCATACCTGGAACAATTAGTCTCTTGATCTCATTCAACTCTCTTTTGGCAATCTCAAAGGGCAAAGTAGTTAACTGAAGGGCACATTATTTGTGACCGTCATGGGGGGGGGGCAGGGTCCCTAAGGGAAGTGACAAATCACCATACGCAGAAGTAATGAAGTATGTAGTATCCTGGCTGTCAAAAGGGACCAGGAACTTCCTGTGAAGTGAGAGGGCCAGTGTGCAGGCTAGGAAGCTGCAACAGTGGTGCTCCTCAGTCCACACTCAGCTCCTCCTCAGACAGTCATCAAAGAGTCAGCTGAAGTCATGCTCCCAGACTGGCCTCTCCCTTCTTTAAAGTTTCAGGTAATGAAATCCTGTCTCCACTCTACTGAGGCTAGCCAGAAAAAAAGACACAAGCCTGTCTCTCTTGGGAGGAAGAGTAGGCAGACACTGTCACATCACGCAGTTAGGGGCAAAGAGCATCAAGTTTTCTTCAGGGAAAACAGGATGATCTCTCCCTCCCCCAACCCCCCTCACACACTTTTTTTTTTTTACTGTTTTTGTTTTAAACAAAATCACTGAGATTCCTGAGTGAAGCAGTTATATAAGTTCCCAAACCTGATCTCTGCCCACATTCAGAAAGTGCTGCTGGCTCTACTGTAATGTCTTGCTCCACCAAGTCACTCACTGTACACACTGAGGCAACTCCATGGACTGCTCTGTTTTCCTTTCAGTCTACCTAGAGACTGATTATGCTTGAGGACTTAATTTTAATGCCGTCTCTTTCTTCAAACCATCCCTATTCAAGCACAAGAACAATGTGTACATTGAACACACTGCCTACACTCATTGAGCAGACAAGGCCTTTCTTGACCCTCTGAAGAGGCAGCCACCTTTTAAATGACCGATTGTTCTTGCAACAAGGAAATTTACTCAGAACTGAAACTTCTGTAACATCAAATGATGACAGCATTAAACAGATAAACTTAATGATTGCACTCTGCACAGCATTTACTACCGTTTCTGCAAATCTCTTCAGGGTTTCACAATGGCAGAAGAACCCACTGGCTCTGTGGAATGATCTGGGGTGGAAAGAAGTTAGTGGGCAGGCCGCAAGGAGACTTCTAGTGTACAGACAGTGGAGAACAACAAATGTGTCATCTTACAGTCTACAGAAGCTTCAACTAGGCACCACCACCACCAAACTATAGAAAGCTGTTTATCCAAGCTTAGGATTTGTTTTATGTACCTTATCAATTAAAGACTAAATTTAAGAGACAAGTAACTTACATAGTGTCTCTCAATATGTCATGATCTGTGAAAAGGTCACTATACAAATTGGCATCTGAGAACCATTATGACTGCACATTCGTTTGTAATGCCCCAGTGAGTACTGATGGGAGATCAGAGAGAAGGGGGTGGTTACAGAGGATCTGTGCTTGTATATGCAGCAAGGGCAACACCAAGGAGTAGGTGAGAACTGTGCAGACAGAAGTCAACCCGCCTCGTGAGAAGCTCATCTGTCCACCACTAACTAGGGGATGGAGAGTCAGCTGAGCGCCCTACAGGCATCCCCAGTTAGCCACACTGATGTACAGCAATTTGGATACTGTCCAAGTATCTGGGTTTTTTTTTTTAGAAGGAATGCTGTCATGAACATTATGGAAGATTAAATGGCCTACTACCAATAGGTTACAGAAGGAGGAAACAGTAAACCTAGGGACGAGCTGCAGGCCTGTGTGAAGTGCTGGTACAGACCAACTTCACAGCCACAGATACACAAAGTATGCTTACTGATTCCTACATGCACTGCTGTTTTGACTTTATAATTACTGTCACTTATGAGGAAAAATACTTTAATCACAAAATTCCTCTCAATCCCTAGCTGCCCCATAGTGCTTCTGTCTCCCTCCAACATAGTATTATTAGAGGCCTGACCCACACATCAGGCCTGTGGTGGTGGGAACCGGGCTGATCCGACTGCAGCACAGGAGCTGTAGGCAACCCAGCAAAAAGGCATCAGGCCAAGTACTATGCCAATGCCTCTTCCATTCTTTAATGAACATACTTATATTTCTAGAAAGTCATTCCACACAAAACTTAACAGCTTTCAGTACTATTTCCAGTTTTCCATAATTAGTACTATAAGAACAAAACCACAGGCTGGCTCACAAATTTATAAATAGAAATGAATTCAATTTACAGATAATTGGTAACAAGTCATCAAATAAACATCATGCAAAGGAACCAGCTCAAAAATAAAGTCCAAAGTGTTCACCTGCCAAATATACATGGGACAGCTTTTCCGTATGGACATTGTTGTAGGTATTGGGAACATGGTGGAAAATAAAACAGGCACCCTCAGGTGCAGACCTCAGGTACAGTCTGACTAAAACTAAGCCTGTTAAATCTTTGTTTTGCTGTTGTAAAATGCTGAGACTACGGATCAGAATCCTTCCCATTGCAGCATTATAAAGCACACCAGCATTTCAGGATAAAAACTAGTTGAACAATCTTAGTTCAAATACCTTTTATAATTTTTAAATTATGCACCACTCCACCCTCTCCCAAATAATTCTAGCTGCATACTCACTTCTGAAGTTAATATGCATTAACATATGCTACCTAGGCCTGTGAGATCACTTCTTCAATAAAATGGTTTCCTGTCCTTTGTAAGAAAATATAGATACTTTAAGACAATTTTCGCATACTTCCCAAAAACTGTTTGAAAGTGCCATAACTAAAATAACTTATCTTTCCTATTAGTTCTAGCAATTCTGGTACGGCATCTCAAGTCAAGAATAAAAAATTAAAGAGCATCTAATCAATATCTCCTCATAATCCCTAAGTAATACATTCTGACACACTTTGCTAGATTAAGCTTTTAAATTAAAACAACAAAGTAGTGAAACAGAAGAGAAGCTGTGTAGGAAATATTAGTCGCGTTTCCCAGACGCAAAGAGCTGACACTGAGGCTTCACAGAAGGTAAATCTATGTAGATCAATTTTTACTTTCAAGAGAAGAAAGCTAAGACAGTTGTTTCAAAGATTTCTAAACTGGTTCTCCAAGAAGGAAGACTTCAGATTCAGGAGTCAAACACAAATTACAATTTGAATGCCGAGTTTCCTTAGCTCTCTCTCTGTCACACAGATGACAGGAAGCCAACAGGCTGGGTGCTCACTGTCTTTGAGCTTTCCCTACTGTAGCTTCAGTGAGATACTGGAGAGCTGATACATCTTGCAGCAGTAACACTCTGGACTTTGTAACAGGCAATCATAGTTTAAGTACTTTAGACTCTGAAATGGTTTTTAAAATATTAAGGCATAAATTAATATAGAAATCTAACTTGTACAGAACTACTTGTACAGAACTTACTTACCAACTGCAATGAAGTCTAAGAAAATGTAAGTATTTTTATTTAACTGTTCTTTAAAAAAAATCTGAAAATGGGGTGGAGAGCTGGCTCAGTGGTTAAGAGCACTGGCTGCTCTTGCAGAGGTCCCGAGTTCAACTCCCAGCAACCACATGGTGGCTCACAACCATCTGTAATGGGATCTGATGCCCTCTTCTGCTGTGTCTGAAGACAGTGACAAGTCTACTGACATATATAAAATAAATCTTAAAAAAAAAAGATCTGAAAAACAAATGTAAGAAAAATGGCCTCAATTAAAAAGAATTTCTTCTACATTTATGAAAAGAGTTGGACTTATGTCTGAATTTGTTAATTTGGTAAGATTTAGTTTATTAAAAACAACAAGTAGTTAGCACTTGCTACGTAATGCTACAATGAACGATCAGCTCAGGCTTTAAGGAGTGCACTCAGGACAGTCAGCATCTGCCTAGGCTTTAAGGAATGCACTCAGGACAGTCAGCATCTGCCTAGGGTTTAAGGAGTGCACTCAGGACAGTCGGCATCAGCCTAGGCTTTAAGGAGTGCACTCAGGACAGTCGGCATCAGCCTAGGGTCTGCTTCCCGCTCTTGCTGTCTACTGCCCCTTTACCCAACAATAGTTTAATTCTTAGAGCAAACAAACTCTCTGTTAAGCAAGTTCAAATAAGTTTGAAATGGTGTAAGATTACAATAATATTTGTAGGTCTCAATTATCTATCCTATTGTTGCTTCTAAAATACTAAATAAAACTAAATATTGTAAGTGATGTTTATGAGAAAAATCAAAATTTGGCCTTAATCATTTAAAAACAGAAGAAGAAGAAGAAGAAGAAGAAGAAGAAGAAGAAGAAGAAGAACCACCACCACCACCACCTTAGTTTTATTAATGGAAAAACAAACAAACAAACAAACAAACAAACAAACCAGAATTTGAAGTTAGATATTCTTTCTTTAGTGAGTTGAATGACTTCTGCAAACCAGGGAAGAATGCTAGCACCTGTCAAACAGGAAGACAGCTGCCCAGTCTTCCAACCATCACTGCTTCCTTAGAGAGCTGGGTTGAATGTTCTATTTATCACAGTCACCACGTAGCTATAAACTGACTTTCCGAACTGAACCCGCTAAGCAATCAGCAGCAGACAGGCTGCCGCAGTGCACAGCATCCAAGGGTAAGTCTTTGGTTCCTGTGTGAAGGAACTACAGGTTTGAGAGGTCACTCTTCTATCACACAGCCTTTCAGTCTGGAACGCCTTAAGTTTCTATTATTTTGAATTAGAAAAGGCCTTTAAAAAAAAAATTACACACAGTCCGTGCATTTTCTGGTAGTCTTCCAGAGTTATACTTGCCTATTGTCCTGTACAAAGGAGAAGGCATTGGTGCAACAGTACAAGATTATGCCTTCTCAAAATCTTCACTAAACACGGGAAGATCAGAAAGGAATAATAAAAGAAGTAGGCCAATCGTTACTGTTGTTTCGTTTGTAACCAATAATTAACAAGGAGCTGAAAAGTACCCGCACACGGTGTGCTTCATACACAAGACATCAGTTTCAATATCACTTGTCTCTGGGTCCTTAATCTCCTTCACGATACGTACACTACAGATATAAAAGTGTCGTTATAGTTGGAAAGGCCACATCCACACTGATAAACCTAACGCTTAACAGACTGATTTTCCTTTGGGTGGCTACACGTGCACCTTTTAAACACTGTCATACTGATTTGTTTCATATTTTCCTCAGACAAGCCTCCTGTGTATCACCTCAGAAGAAATGAAAAGTCTGACCATCATCAAAGGAACGTGACACAGGGTCTGAGAAATCTTTCTGGTTCGCTGTCACATTTATATCTTTTTGTTTCTGACTCTAGCAAACGGAGGCGGCAGGACTCGAACCCAGGTGTTCTAGGTACAAACCCAAGCCTCTTCTCTAAATAAAAATCAAGACGTGAGTATTTAACAAGTTACGAACTGTTAGCAGCTGAGCCGTCATTCTACCTGCGCTGTTTCCCTGGGATTGCTACTTTGAGAACATGTAGAAGGGGAGAAATAAATCTGAAATGATTTCCCTACCAAGATTCATTAAATACATTGGTACCTTTGGAAAAGCCAAACGCTGCTGACCGCGTCCCCGGAGATCCCGCGCAGGTGCGGCGGGGAAGCGGCCGCGCTCCGGGCACAGCCCCCGAGGGCCCCGCCAGCCCCGTCACGTCCACGCGCGGAGTCGCGTACCGCCCGGGGCTGGCACCCCGTCACATCCACGCGCGCGGACCGGCGCCAGCCGAGCCCCCGGCGCCCTCCCCGGACGCCCCTCGGCCACTCACCGTCCGTCGCCCAGCCCCGGGCCGCACCCTAGCGAGGCCGACGGAGCTCCGGCTCCGGGGCCGGCGACTCCATGGCGGCGTCTAGTCGACGCGGAGTGGGCGAGGAAGTCACGCGCGGAGACCACAGCCGATCCCGGGCTGTGAACCGAGGTTTTCCCCAAAACCCCTGCGGAGCTGACACATCAACAAAGATGGCGACGACGCCGAAGCCGGCGCGGCTACAGCTGAGGGGGCGGGGCTCCCTGAAAGAGCCAATCAGCGCGGCGCAGGCCGCGTGACGTTAGCACCGTGAGGCGGGCGTGGTTTTCGAGGCACCGCCTCCAGCCCCCGGCGGTTTCTAAAGGCCCCGCCCAGCATCTCAACGCCACCTCCACTTTCGCCCAAGGAGACCGTAGCAGGTTGACAGGGCTCCTGTCCAGTTGGGCCACTCTTTCCCTTTCCCGCCCCAAGACTGTGCTTTCTGTCGGTAGGAAGTTGCCATCTTTCTTTCTCACCCTTTGACCGATCATCTAATGAGTCAGTGACATAAGTAATAAAAGAGAACAAGAGATTGTGGCTTCCCGGTTCTGTTGGTGCAAACTTTGCGCTACGAGCCAAGTCCGCGGGAGCAGCTGACGTGGGCATGCGAGCATTCATCCCTGGGAGAGAGCTCTGCAGGGTTTCCATAATGATAATTGACCTGGAATCTGCAAGTAGCACCGGGTGCCATTATTTACTAGAAAGCTGTTGATGTGATCCATGTGGAGGACCTAAGCCCTCCCAGGGCTGGGTATCCCGCCCGATGCACGGTTGCATGAAAGGTGTATATTATAGTGACTAAGCCCACTTAGAGGAGGAAGGGAAGGTGAGCAGTTTCAATCTGGAGGCTTTGCAAACCACCTGTCCAGAGAAAAGATGTTTTTACGGTTTGGACCGTGTAGACGTAAGTCATAAGTGAAAATAGTTAAAACTCGTCTTTAGTGACAAGTTTGTAAATCAAAACATATTACTGTTCAACTACTTTCATAATTGCTGAGGAGGAAAAACGTCAACGTGGAATATTACTAACCCTCCGTCTTTTTTATCAGAAAATGATGTCTCCCTCCTCAAACTATGCTAATGTATTACAGCACGTTTTACAATTAAGGAGCTGTAGCGATTTGAACAGACTGGGATGTTTGAATGCTTGGCCAATAGGAAGTGGCATTGTTAAGAGGTGTGGCCTTGTTGAACAAGATATGTCACTGTGGAGACAGGCTTTGAGGTCTCATATAAATGCTTGAGCTACACCCAGTGTGGGACACACCCGGTCTCCTCCTTGTTGCCTTCGAATCAAGATGTAGAACTCTGCTCTTTCTCTCAACCCCATGTCTGCCTGCACACTGCTGTGCTTCCCAGCATGATGATAGTGGGCTAAACCTCTGAACCTGTAAACCAGCCTCAACTAAATGTTTTATAAGAGTTGCCATGATGTGAAGAGGGTCAGCTCACAGCAATGAGATCGTAACTATGGGTCGGTCAGGAGTCGTGGCTGACAGAGGTTATCCAGGCATTTCGGAGGTGCAAGTAGAAACTACTTAGCGCTTAACCTCCAGGAGACCCTTTCTCTAAATGCATACGTACATACAAACATACATGTGTGCATGTGTGCGTACAGACATACATAGGTTTCCTTGTTTCTAGGAGAAGAGTGATTTGACTTGAAACATTACTAGTAAGGTATGTTACCACAAAAGGACAGGAGGGAGAGGCACACTGAGTTGTTTGTCTGCCCATATTGTTAGAAGCAACATTAGCATTATTTCTGAAATGTACTTCAGAACTTACAACTGGTAAAAAAAAAGATCTATTAAGTATGTCTTGAAAACTAAATGTTTAGTCGTAAAGAGATGAGATAGAAGTGGTGCGATCTGAAGTGAAAACTCTAAGGGTTCTTTGGAAAGTCAGTTGTGTTGGATAGTGTTTTGCTAGAGCAAACACGTGAAGGAACGTTTCCTTCAAATGGACACAGGCGTGAAAGGCTATGGCAGACCCCTGAAGGAACATTTCGCTGAAGCAGGTACAGGAGAGAAGATGTTCTGCTGAAGCAAAGGCTAAGGCCTGGCTGTCTCTGCTAGGTAGTACCACCGCTGCTGATTCCTGTTTACAATCCTGACTCTACCAAACTGGATTGCTGGTGTATCCGTGAAGTGTTTGCACGTGGATCCAGCTGCAGCTGCTAACCTGTGAACTACACTGCTGATTTCCATACAACACAGATTGGAGTTGCTCCAAAGAACCTTTCTAAACAGGTCCACCTCCCCCCCACCACCCCGTGTCCTTTCTTTTCCACTACCTCTGGTGGGTGGTGAGATATGAGGGAGGTTAAAGTGTTTAAGAACCATCATTAAAAATATGTTTAAAAAAAAATTAAAGTTACAGCAATCCTACATTTGGATTGAGAAATATCACAATGAAATTGGACATTTTTCATAAGGAAGTCACTGCTACAACATTTGCCTTAGCATGGGAAAGGCCTGGGATTCAGTCCGTGGGATTATGGGTGTCTACTGAAAAGAATCACGAACAGCCTAATGCACACCCTTACTCTCCACGTCTCTATTCTCCACCAAATGAGCCTGGACTGAAAAGTTACAAGGCGTGGCTCCAAGTCTGGAGCAAGAAGTGTGTAAACTATCGTAGGACATATTATGTTCAGAGGTGGGTTTGGCATAATGACTCCCATATCACATTGTATAGGCAGGGGGAAGCTTTACAGGGCAGAAATGTAATCAACAGCAGCCATATGATGACACCTGTTATTCATTATAAATCGTGCTCAGAAAATGTAGAAGATATCATACAATAGAAGCGTGACTTTGTCTGTGTGGTCTTTCAGACAACTCATACTCCATTACTATCAGGAGAAGAGCATCAAACTTCATGATCAAAGCCTGGTCAGTGCTCCTGGAAGCTGCCAATCAGGAGAAACTGCCACGGCCACGGAACGATAACTAAATTCAATGTTGGATTCTGGCTCAGAAGATGTATAGAAGCAGGGCTAGAATTTGAATAAATCACGGGCTTGGGTTAATAACAGTAGTTTCAAACATGTTCATTGAAGGAGAAACTGGTTGTAACCTCCTCATAAGAATTCTTCTTTTTCTTTATTCTATAAAGGTAAAAGAATTCTAAAAGTGATTAAAAATGAAAAAGACAATGTCAGGCATGGTAGCTGAATGAAAAAGAAATAAAAAAGGAAGGACATGACTGCTCCTAGGTATGGTATAGTAGAAGGTTTATTATAGATATGAGAGAGAGAAGACACATCTTAGGAGAGTCCAGAGTAAACATGACACTGAGCTGGGCCATGTGAGGAGACAGGGAGGGGGAGAGCCAGGAGACAATAGGGTAGACAAAAAGATTGGATCACCAATGTGGCTGGATTATAAAGGGAAAGGTAGGTGGTGGGAGGGCAGCCCAGCCCCTGAGCTGGAGAAGTACAGGGATTGGGGGCAGGGTATGCCAACCATACCTTGTAACAGGTAGAGAGACTTGAGGGATGATGGGAGAACCTATCAGCCAGGTCCAATTTGATGTATTAACTAGGCACCTCAGCCATTCGTCCCAGGTTTGAGATATAACAGTAGCCCAGGCCTTCAACCTCAACATTCCAGAGACGACAGGTGGTTTTCTCTGAGTTCACGGCCAGCCTGGTCAACGTAGCAAATGATAGGCAGCTGGATCTCTGCGTTCAGAGATGGCAAGGTCAACATCCAAGCACAGGCCAGCCAGGGATTACATAATGAGATAGTCTCAAAACAAGGGAACTGAGTCCCAAAAGTTGTCTCCTAACTTCTACGTATGTGTCATGGCAGAAAATAAGTGAAAACGTAAAAAGAATAAAGATAAATCTGGGCATTGCTTCTAAACATTCAAGAAATGATTGACGGCCTGGGTCTGGTGTGCTTAGTTTCCAGAGGAGGCAGGCGCAGAGGAGTACACTGGAAAACCAAGTCCCTCACAGAGCTAAAGTAGCAACCCCGGTGACTCTCAGCGTGCCCTTTCCTCCCGGAATCTGTCCCCCGGGTCTCCTGAGACTCCTTTCTAGAAAAAGCCAGACAGTCCTGTAAAGCGTTGATGAGCCTGCACCAGCAGCAGGCAGCAGCCCGCAATCAGCGCAGCTCCACAGCACCTGCCGCTCTGGGCGCGTGGGCGGGGCTGAGCGCACGTGGGGATAAACTGCGCAGGCGCGGGACTGGCAGCACGCGGCGACAGCATTGCGCTTCCGAGGCGAGGTGAGCACGGGTGGAGCTCCTGTATCTCAGGGCTGCGGGGTATGGCAAACGCCAGCATGGGTGGTCGGCTTCAGAGACCTGTTGGGGCCAGAGCCCTTTCGGCTTTTTCCGGGTCAGGCGGCCTGGGTGCCCGGGCGCGGGAGCTCGGTGTCGAGCCTGTCTCGGGCGTGGGTCGTTGGGAGCCGGAAGTCCAGAGCTGGACGTTGAGGTCGGGCGTTAAGGCAGGCGTTGGGCGAGCACGGAGCTGCACGTGGGGACAGGCTGGAAGGGCAGAGACCCCGGGGCCGTCCCAGAGCCATGGGTGTGGGTGGATTCTGTCTGGGTTATAGAGAGCTGAGCCCAGGAACTGGGGGTGGGGGGTGGGGTGGGCAAGCAGAGGCCCTGTGCACGGTTTGGAAACAGACTTTTAAAGTGTCAAAGTGTGTGTGTGTGTGTTTCCACACGAAGACTTGTGGATTCAGTGCTTTGGTTGAAGTCACAGCTGGAGTGCCAACTGTGAGCTAGCTATTGGATTCTTTTAAACTCTCTTGAGAATCAGGAGGGTCACCAGGTTTCTAAAGTGAGGTAGATACCTTACATCTGCTGCTTCACTCACTCATGGCACTTGGCTTTCCTAGACCCCAGGTGTAAGTCAGTTTCTCTATTAGGTCTCCGGAGTTAAGAAGACTGAGAATAGTCTTACCTAGGTATCTCAAGTGGGTGCTGGGCCCGAGTCGGATATGGTGGATGGAAGGTGGCAAGTTTTCCCATTTACTCATCACTCACGTTTTAAAGTAATGTGTGAGACGACGTCTGTCTTAAACATGCAACTCCTCCTGCATTGTGGTTTGCCACCGAAATCTTACTCAGCACTGAGGTGGAGGCACAGGATGACAAACTCAAGACCAGCAAACAAAATCTTGTAAACTTGTTCTTCGTGACACAAAGAAAGGCTGGGGAGTATGTATTGTGATAA